CCCCACAATCTATGATGTATAATTCCCCCAAGTCCCCTCAAATACTTAAAAATTTCTTGAGCGGAAGGGTAAAGTGCATACAAGCAAGAAAGTACTTTTATAATTTTAGACCTGAATTCATACTGAAAGTTTGAGTCTAAACAGTTAAAATATTTATCAAACACTCAGTTTGCCAGCAGATCTGCACGTAAAGATGTTGGAGGCTGGCACCAGAAGCAGTCATTCTGACTACATGTGCCTTAATATGATCATGAGATGCATTCTGGCAAGCATACTTCCCTTAAAGAGACATTGTCTTGATGCACGGATGTGAAAATGGGAGAGAGATTTTAAGTCCTGGCTTATCTGCATCTCTTACAGTATGAGCTGGATTAGTCATTAGTCTTACATTAGTGAATTGAATTCTGTTTGGGGATGTTTCATGTGTGTAATTTGAGCTCACAAATAAGGGATGACTTTATAAAGATTGTGCTGCAGGCGGCTTAAAAGTCATTTAGGAAAGCAATTGTCTTCAGTTTCCTACGGGTAGGCGTCATCTCTGCTAATATCAAGGGAATGGCAAACTGAGGTAAAGAGGAGTAAGGACTATCTTTTTTTGTTAGCACATATGTAAAGATGATAGGTGTGGCAATAGTGATTTTTATTAAATGTACACTGCCTTCCTTGCTTGAAGGTGGACGGGGTCTGCCTTTGTATCTGTTCAAAGCAGGTAGGTAGGTAGCATGGACAGTATTTCTGCTGTTTTGGGGACAAGGAAAAATACTTATTTCCTGTACAAAATAAGAGTTTTGAAGAAGTTGCTCTTAATGCTCTTAAATAGGAGAACAAAACACCTCTCTTCAAGCATTTTGTCATGTAAGTTATTGGGGTGGAGAAAACAAGTTCTGAGTTTTGACGGTGAAGTTGCATATGGAGACTTGGCTGTTGTGATGGCTTGACTAGTAATTTATAGAGAACAGTAAAGGAGCCCATGCCAGTGCCTCTCCACAGCACAATGAGCACTGCTTTTTAATTGCACTGTCTGTACTACTGGGCATGGCTGTGGTCTCCCTTCTTCTCATCCTCCTGATGCTGTTGGATCTATCTCAGTGCAAATCTGTAAGAACACACGTTGTGCGATCGAGGCTTCTTTATTGTTTTTACCTTATTTTTAGCGTGTGGACCAGATAAGTGATTCTATGGGAAACTGGCAAGAGAATACAAAAGTGTGTTTTCCAAACTCTTTGAACACCTTTTGTAATCAACGAGCAAGTGACTGAAATCTTAGTTCCTGCAAATAACTGTTACTGTCCCTATGCATTGCAGAGGTGAGCAGAGTTGTCGGGTGATATATTCAATGAACATGGGGCAAAATCTTGTCTACAGTGGAAAATTTTGCGTGTTGTTAACACCTCTTCTAACATGAAGAGGTTTGGCATTGCTAAACTCTTAAAAGGATGCTCTAACTTCTTGAGCTTTTAAGGTGAAAATACTTTAGATATACTATCAGATGAATCCAATTCTTCTTTTAAACCTCTTGATGTAAAACTGCAGAGCCAGCTTCAGCATGTCTTTCACTAATAAGCAGTCCTTCCTTGCAGAGAAAAATCTCTAAATTATTACTTGCTATGTCACAATGTTGCTGACTTGTTTCCCCTATCACTTACATAAACCAGCAGGATAAACAGGCACAGGAAACGGCTGGTAATTCTTCCACATCGTGGGAGGATGATGTTAAGTGGCTGCTGCTGTGAAAAACAGTTCACCTTTTTAAAGATTTGACTCCTTCTCTTGCCTTTTTTGTTACTTTTAAGCATAAAGAATAAGTTTTTCTTGTTACTCTGGATGGGGAGGTTTGGAATTACTTCAGAAAAATTAACTTTTACTTTGAACGCCTTTTCTCTCCTGTGTGATTGTGCTGGCATTTCTGTATCAAAAGGATTGGACTGTTGGCAATTACCATGATCCTTGTCTTCATAAGAGCTTTGAATCCAGCGGACTGTTGAATACACAAATAAAACAGGCTTGTTCAGGAAGATGAAACAAAGTATCTGACTGAATTTCTAATTTCATTAGAGGGAAGATTGAGACAGGTAAACATCAAGACAATGAGATGAATCTATTTATGCTCAACCCCTAACATGACTGAATTTGCAGGAAGATCATCTGAGAGCAACCCCCAGCCTTGCTGCAAGGCCCTTTACCTGCAATGCAGTGCTGTACATCTGCAGCTAGGTGGTGGAGGCAAATCCCTCTTCTCCCTCACTCTTGCACAAAGCTTTGCTGTGTTCAAGAAGAACCAGCCCCTCCGCCTGCCGTTGATGTCCCCCTGCTTCCTGAACAGTGTGGCATCTGATTTTTAATGGCTCTTTCGAAAACTATTGGGCTGTCTTCGGGAATATCTTTATCAATGGGAGGCCGTGCTTCATGCAGGTAGGTTACCCTCTTTAATTTTTTTTTTGTCTCGTGAATCTGGTTCTTCACG